TTTCTTGGCTGACCTAGGCCAGGAGCTTAGGGAAGATGGTGAGCCCTGTGTTCCATGCCACTGCAGGGAATGCCAGGCCGTCCCACGTCCTGCGCTCGGGATGGCCACCTGATCTCAGGGCTGGCCCATAGGCGCATGGGAGCATGCACACGCACACGTACACCACCAAGAAGCAGACTCCCTGCCAGCAAGTCCCTTCCAACTCCGAGCAGCCCAATAGGACAGAGCAGAATTGCCCTCGGAGGTTTCCGAGACTGTTGCTCTTTATGGGGACAGACGGCTCCTCTTTTCTCCAGTAGAGCAGCTGGTGGTTTCAAACTGCTGACCTTGCAGTTACAGCCCAACACAAACACTGAGCTGCCCCTCCCTCCGCCCCCTCACGCATGTGAACACACACACACACACACACACACCTCGATGGGGCTCAGCTTATCAGCAAGAGGGGCCTATAGGTGTCCAGGAAAAAGGCTGATGCTATAGCTACCTTTTTCTGTCGTTGGAAGTATCCATGTAGGAGTGACCTGCTGGACAAGACTTTTATTGTTGGTTTGAGCTGCCATTCAGTCATGTGCCCCCTGTGGCGATCCGTAGAATTTTCAGTAGCTGATTTTCCAAAGTAGGTTTCCAGGCCTTTCTTCCTAGCCTGTCTTAGTCAGGAAGCTCCGCTGAAACTTGTTGCTCATCATAGCTGCCTACGCAAGCCTCCACAGGCCGAGAGAGGGTAGTGACTGCAATGAGGTTTACTGACTGGGCCTCTAGGGCTCTCCCACCCAGAAGGGGAGAGTTCCAGCCCTGAGCCAGTGCTGCCCGCCCCCCCGCCCCGCACCACCACGGCAGTTAGACACTTCAACCTTCCAAAGTGGTTGGTAAAACCCTTTTGAAAAGAGACCTGTACCGTTCAGTGACACCAAGCTGTGATCTCCTGCCAGGTGTTGAGAACTTGCTTTCGAGAGTGGTTTGGGCTTTGTCCTCTTCTTTTTTCCACCAGAGGAAAGAAAATACAAATGCCATTTGTGCCCCTATGCTGCTAAGTGCCGTGCAAATCTGAACCAGCACCTGACGGTCCATTCTGTGAAGCTGGTGAGTACAGACGCGGAGGACCTTGTCAGCGCCGTCACCTCTGAAGGCAGTGACGGGAGGAAGCACCCTTATTACTACAGGTGAGTGGGGGCTGTAATAACTCCAGTCCGCATGCCTCCAACCCTGTGCTGGAAAACGCTCGCCTGTCTGCTAGGGACAGGTGTTACCAGACCCCTGTTCTCAACTGCAAGGCTGACCTGCCTTTTCACTAGTTCCTGGGCTTCCCTTGAGCCCTGCAGTTGTTCTGGCCCGTCTCCTGGCTCGGGTGGCTCGGGGAGAATTCATTGAAAGGGAAGTGGTCTTGGAGGTGGCTCTGGGGCGAGGGGCAGGGCTCAGAAGATGATGAGTACCCTTTAGGTCTGTGCTGTCCGACCATTGTAATGAAGAACCTTTCTGCTTCCTAAAGACGCGTAGGGGCTGCGAGTGGAGAGAAATGAGGGGAAATAATCCTAGGACCCAAGGAAATCACGCAGTACCCATTCCAGTCTTTCCGTCAGTTGTGTTCTCCGCTAGTCCTTAGCATGTTACATTTGTCTCCATTTTCCAGCTGCCATCTTGTATGTCAGAGTAGACGTGTGCTCCAAGGGTTGTCAGTAATCGGTCTTTCAGAAACAGATTGCCAGGTCTCTCTTCCAAGGCATCTCAAGGGAACTCAAGCCCCAACCTTTCTGTTAGCGACCGAGCACATTAACGATTGGTGCCACCCAGGGACTCCGTGACCAAAGCAAACCTGTTGCCAGTGAGTCAACGACTCCTTGCCACCCGTAGGATAGAGCAAGACGGCACGTAGCTTTCCCACGGCTGTCATGTTTTGGAAGCAGATTGCCACATCTTTCTCCGACAGAGTAGCTGGTGGGTTCAAACCACTGACCTCCCGGGTAGCAGCCAAGTGTTGACCACTGCGCCCCCAGTGCTCATTAGAGACTCCACCATCAACCATAACTCAGTCTTTGGTTTGAGGGTCATAAGTCCAACGTTTCAGCAGCTTGGCCCTAGAGCGATGCTCTCCAAACGCCAAACCGAACTCGGTGCCATGAGTTGATTCTGCCTCCTCCTGGCCCTATGGGACAAGGGAGAGCTGCCCCTGGGGGTTTCTGATACTCTGGACTTTTTACAGGAGTTGAAAGCCTCATCTTTCTGCCACAGAGGGACTGGTGGTTTCAAACTGCTGACCTTGCAGTTCAAAACCCAGTGTGTAACCCACTACACCACTAGGAAACTTGCTTTTGCACAAAATGTCTCTGCAGGAGGGTGGCTTCTGTCTGGAGTTGTCGCGGGTACGGCTGGCTGTCATTCAGAGTGCTGTATGGTGACCTTATGTGCATCCATTCCTGCATGGGAAGGATTCCAGAGCCAGAGCGAGGCCCCTCGGTGTGCCGTGCACTCGGGTTTATCCATGAGCCAGCACCACGCACGATCTTGGCAAGGCTGCCCTGCATCGCTCTGCCCAAAGGAATCAGTTAGGTGATGTGCAGCATCTGGATTCTGTAGTTTTTAATTAACTTTATGATTATGTATCATCATTATCACATGTATGGGATTGTTACATTATGCTGGCACTTAATCTCTTTGGCGTGGTGGCCACTTCCAAGGCAGGCCAGCGAGCAGAAGAATTTTCTAGTGGGGAGAGAAAGTATTTGTGCAACCCCAGTGTTCTGTGTTGCACCCTACACAAATGGGCATGATTGAAGTAGGTATGATTCGTCCGCACTCCTCCCCCTCTTGTCTCACCTTCTCCCCCACAGCTGTCATGTGTGTGGATTTGAGACGGAGCTCAATGTCCAGTTCGTCAGCCACATGTCGCTCCACGTGGACAAGGAGCAGTGGATGTTCTCCATCTGTTGCACTGCCTGCGACTTCGTCACCATGGAGGAAGCAGAGATAAAGGCTCACATTGGCACCAAGCACACAGGTGACCATTTCTCCTCTCCTCCTCCATCCCCTGCTGTCTGTGAGACATCAACATTTCCTCCCTCAGAAGGGAGGCCCTCCCCGACAGTGTTTCCCTTTAGCCCCGTCCCGTTGCCACGTCGGGCCTGGGCTTTGCTGGTCTGCAAGGCCACAGGCTCACCTGCCATCGCGAGGCACTGGGCTGTGGCTTGTTCCTTGCCCTGGTCTTCTTCTGCATTGCCATAGGTAGCACCCACTAAGCCTTGTGATATCCCGGGCTTTTGCATGCTGTGTCCCTTTTGAGGCTCACAACAACCACACTCTGCAGTAAGCACCATGATTACTCGACTGTGTGGTTGCTAGCCACCACAGGGCACCAACTCCGCGCAGCCTGGTGACCAGAACACAGCGCTGCCCGGCCTGTGCCAGCACCATGATGGTGGGGGTATTTGAGCCCACAAGGCTATTGTGTCAGTCCATCTCATTGAGCATTTCCTTCATTTTTGCTGGCTCTTTGCCAATGGTGATGCCCTTCTCTGGCACCTGGCCTTTTCGATGACCTGACCAATGTAAGAGATGCCATCGTCCCTTCGAAGGAGCATTCTGGCTGTGTTCGGAGACCGAGGGTCTGGTTCTGGATATTCTGCCTATCCCGTAGTGCTTGCCATCAATTCTTCTGTTTTCTTTTGTCATCATTGAGCTTTGGCATGCATCGGAGCTGATTAAAAAGACCGCGGCTGAGGTCTGTCCTAAGCTCTGTCCTCAGCGCGACACAGGACATGTGGGACTTCTTGACGGCTGCGTCCATGGATGTCGGCTGTCGATCCAAGTCGAATGAAATCATTGCCAACTCCAGGCCTCTCTTCTTTCGCCATGGTGTTGTGGATCGGGCTGTATTTTCTCTGTGGAGTTGGAGAAACTGAGGCTTGTCAGGTGAGGCCAGCTGTCCCCTTGGAGCCTACAGAAGCTCAGAGCAGGTTAGCTCTCATTCCAGAGCCTTCTCTCTGCATCCTTGCTGCTCTGACAGCCTCAGGCAGCGTTCGCGGGTGGCAGATATTTGAACCTTTCTGATTTGCTCCCTTCGGGCTCTGTGCACCCACTTTTGCAGACTTGGTTCCTCACCCAGGAATCTGCACCCCTGGCACTTTCCATAATGACACTTGCCGCATCTGGTAAGGGGAAATAATGTCAACAGATCCTCCTTAAATAATGCAGATCCTCTCTCTAGGCCGGGCCATCCCTGCCACCGTGTTGCTCAGACTCATAGCGTCGGATAGGACAGGGTAGGACTGCCCCCTGTGGGTTTCTCACACTGTGTAACTCTATACTGGAGTAGAAAGCCTTGTCTTTCTCCCTTGGATCATCTGGTGGTTTCGAACTGCTGACCCTGCATTTAACAACCCAACACATTCCACACTGCATCACCAGGGCAAGGCCGTGGCTAAGGTATTGCCAAAGCTCCAGTTTCCTTGAAACCTCTCCCCATTCGGATTAGCTTCTTCCACTTAATGATGGCGAGCATTCTGACTTGACAAGGCAATTATCCTCTGGTAAGTGATGGTTACAAACGGCACTGTTGTGCAGTCATTAAGCTGGAGGGAGGAGGAACTCCCCTGGGTTGGCAGTGCCAACACATTAACCGCTGCTGGGTCAGCCCCTCACACAGCCGGCTCTGGAGGCCCGGGATGGGGTGTTTCCCGACAATTGTGCTGACGCCCTGCAGGCCCAGGAGGAGCTGCCTGAGCTTCGCTGGCCGCTCCGGCTCCGAAGTGCCAACAGCAATAACCGTGTTTTTGTCAGTAAATTGAGCAGATCTGACTTGGGGTCTGTGGAGAGCCGTTAGGCTGAGTGAGAAGGTGCCATTTTTACAGTCGGCTGTCTGACCATAACCACATTAGCACTGTGGGCAGCAGGTGAACCGGGAAAGCCCACGCTAAAGACAAATTAAATCCGGCATTTCTGGAGTAGCTAATGGAGGAGAAGGCCAGGCTCTCATCCATTTCCACTGGCTTTTGG